CTGTCAGCTAGTACGTCTGTAACAATACAGACAGACACACAAATTCCCCCAGTAGTAGAGAGTTGAAGAAACCCCTATGACAACCCAGCTCCTGTTTCTCTGCCCCTTTCCCCTCCCCCCCCCCAAGCCCAGCCAGGGGGCCAGGCACTCACAACACTTCCCCCCCACAGAGCCCAGCTGCTCCCCACCCCCAGCCCAGATACCCACACCCCTTCCCCAAGAGCCCAGCTGTGGCCCACCAGCCCAGACACCTGCCTCCCTCCCCCACAGAGTCCAGGGATGCAGAGGGAGAAACAGCCGGATGCTGGGTCCCAGGCTTGCATGGCGTTTCCGTCTGCTTCCTTGGAGTGTGCTGGGAACTGCAGCTGCCAGGATCCCTCTAGTTCCCTCCCTCCCCGCAGCAGTGTCTTCTGTGTGGGAGCTGGGCTCTGCCAGGTCCAGTGGCCCCTAGTGGCGGCCAGCAGCAGTGCAGCCTATTTCTGTGGGGGAAAGGAAATTCTGTGCGCACGTTAATTTCTGCAAAATTCTGCATCGTGCAGTAGCACAGAATTCCCCCAGGAATAGTAAGGAGCTCTGAGCAGTGGGAGGGATGAACAAACTTGGGGCTTCTTGAGGCACTTGTGGGGTTTGTCCCAAGCTTGGCTGGGATTTGTGGGAGGCACAGGCTGAATTTTCTCATTAAGCAGTGCAAGTCAGGGACTTGGGGAGGCCTGCTGATGGGTTCTGAATAGAGGCCTTCACCATGATCCTCGGGGAACGAGCCTAGGGTAAAGCAGCTTGCACTTCTGCCTTTCTAGGACTGACACTCAGAAAGAGTGGTGCAGGGCACTCAGTAAACCCTGACTCATCTTGCTAGGCCCTCTGGCAAGGAAGAGTCTCCCTGTTTGGAAGCAGGGGAGGTGGGAATCTCAATGCCTGTGGGTGAAGGAAACAGGTGAGCTCTCTCCCCCTGGCAGCCTTCTGCTTTCTCACACACCTTGGGCAGTGCCATTCTGCCAGCTCAGCTGAAGCAAAGGCCTGCCCGCTCCTCTGCCAGCACCCTGTACTTACTGAGCCTCTGCCACCTTGATTAGCTGCTGGGAATGTGGCTTTTTTATCTTTCTTTGTTTAAAAAGAAAACCCTTCTCATTTAATTAAAAGTGTTGACATTGTGCCTGGCCATCCCGCCCGCCAGAGAACGCAGTTATAAATTAAACATTAAAACTTTAATGGCCCATAAAGAAATATTCACCACTGCTTATATATAGAGAGGATATAAATAGAGAGGTTTGCTGCGGGTAGGGTCAAGTTATTATTTTTCCTTAGCCAGATAATCTTTGCTAATGAATTTAATTAAAAGCAAAATTAATTTAGGATTTGGGGGGGGGGTGGCTTTAAAACATCACTTAGCACGCTGCTGGTAAATTTCCCAGCAAGGCTGAATGGGAGCCTTCCCCCAGTGAGGAGCCAGCAGGGTCACCCCATTCTACCACGGGGGAGATTCCACCTCTGTCAGGCTGCACACATGTTGGGCTGTCCTAGGGAGATGCCCAGAGAGCTCCCTTCTGCCTCCCCCTGCATGGAGCTCGGAGGGTAGTTTCCATGGCTCTGCCAGGGGGAGCTGTTTTAACCAGTGTCACCAGGACTGACTCTTCTGAGTTCATAATGAGCAGCTCGCTATTTCTGAGCCTCCCAAGGATCGTTTCATGTCCAAGTAAAGGCCCAAAGCAAGCTCCTGTCACCCCGTAGCACCTGGACAGGCAGCCCAAGCTGGCGCGAATGCAGCTGCTCAAAACTAGCTGTCTCCCTCCTCAACTGCATAAACCTCCATGGTTCTTTTTGTCCCCCTGGGACTCTCAGGATCCATTGAGGCTTGCAGAAGCGCATTCACCCCTGCCCTGAGCACATCCCCTGTACACACTGCTTCCCAGAGCATGCCTGGGGTGAGATCTCCTGGGCACCTCTGCAAGGGAGTGGGGTTGGAGTGTGCCCTAAGGTGGGCAGCCCAAAACCTCTCTGCTGCAGCCTGGCATCTTCCATCACTGGCTGTTTTTTCAGGGGAGTGAAAGCAGAGACTCCCCTTCTCCCAAAGAGAGTGGAGAACCCGAAGTGGGTGGGAAGTGGGGATGTGCCACACTGCTGGAAGTCTGGCTGTGCCTGTCACCTTTAATTGCCTCCCTGCAGCAGATTGAGGGAGCCCATTTACATTGGTACTAAGCACAGAGAGCAGCTCTTGGGCAGCAGCTTTTGAACTGCAAAGCAGCACTCGCATCTCCTGCGGGCCGCTCTTTGCCCAGAGTTAATGCTGTGCCTTGGCCTTCCTGCTCCTGCCCCAGCAGATGCTGCAGGGGTGGCAGGTCACAGTCTCTCAGGCTGACCCAGTCCCCCAGTGAGTTGCCTGCCCGTCCACTGTTTCCTGAGCGCCGTGGCCTCAGGTCTAGTTGTGAGGGGTTCTGAGCAGGCGCAGACTCAGCTGGCTTCTTCCTTGACTGAGACTTGTTTGGGAAATGAGATTTTACCCATCACTGCACTTCCCACAGGAGAACAAGCAGCTTTCAGTGAAACATCTTCAAACACACTATCTGAGTGCCCAGCGAATCCAAGCCCCAGCTCTCAGGATGATGGCCACGGACTGGAGGTTTCTCTTCACCCCTGTTCCAGTGGTCTCCAGTGACCAGTTTACTGGTGAAACTGGGCACAGCCTGCAGGAGGTGTCTGTGAGCTCAGAGAAGCAGGAAGGAGTTTGGAGGAGCAGAGTGAGAATGGGCTGGATCAGGAGGTCAGTGGGAGCTTTGAGATTTCAGTGACACAGCAGCTCGAGGGGGCTCAACAGCCAAGTCCCTTGTGTGAGGCCCTGCAGAGTAGGGGATTATCTTGTCCCCACTGGGAATTACAGTTTCTGGAAAACATGCTTTGCCCACGTGGCTTTCCTGAGTTTGTCATGTTACTGGCGGGCCAGGCTGGGGAAGAGGAAGCCGTTTCAGGCTGGTGAATATGTCTGGCTGGGTTAGAGCTATCCGGAGGGTTTTTATCCTAAGAGTGCTAATGGAAGTCCTCCCCAGCCTAATGAGCTGTGTTCCTCCATGAATCTGATTCATTGAGGCAGGAATTACCATAATTGATTATCCTGCTGCGTGGCTGAAAGCCCTGTTTGCTAACAGAAGTGCCTGGGAATCACTTCCATTCCTCCAGCACAACAGGGGAGCCCTCCACATGCTCTGTATAGGGCGTATGCACAATCGCAGCAGCATCGGTGGGGCCAAAGTTCTCGAGTGGATCTAAGTAGTCATCCCTGGGGCAGCACAAAGTCCTGCAGTGATCCCAGCGTAAGCAAGCACAGTGTTTCAGCCCTTGGCTCTGCATGTGTAACTCACTGGCCAGTGTCATGTGGCACCCTCTGTACCCAACTCATAGAGGATGGGAGTCTCCTATGGTCACTGGCTAGTGAACTTGGATCCTTTCTCAAGCCATGGTTTCTGCTCTGCAGGTCGCCAGTTCAGTCCTCGATGTTCAACAAGATGGCAGCTGTCAGGCATGCCTCCACCTGAATCCAGTTCCTTTCTCCTCTGGCCTCCTCTCCCTGCTCGCAGCCCTTCCCCTCTCTGTAGCTTGAAGTGCCATGTGGCTGATCTTGTGATTGTATTGCCAGTCTCACAATGTAGGTATTCTTCTCAAAGCTCCCGCTTCTGGATTCAGGTGTTTATGTGAGAACTGCAGCTTTGGTTTTCTAGCAAGCTGCAAAATGTGACCCCTAAGGGCTCAAAAGCCAGAAGACACAGAAAGACCCCAACTTTTTTATTTTTAAAATCTCATGATTTGGGTGGGATGGGACTGAGGGGCATTGGCAGAGCTGTGTTGGGACCCAGTACAGAGCAGTGGAGGGGCAGGGGGTGCTGTGGGTCCAGGCTGAGGGGCATTGGCAGAGCTGTGTTGGGACCCAGTATGGGATATGGTAGACTGGTGTGGAGAAAGTAAATAAGGAAGAGTTATTTACTCCTTCTCATAACACAAGAAGTAGGGGTCACCACATGAAAGTAACAGGCAGCAGTTTAAAACAAACAAAAGGAAGTATTTCTTCATACAACACACAGTCAACCTGTGGAACTCCTTGCCAGAGGATGTTGTGAGGGCCAAGACCATAACAGGGTTCAAAAAAGAACTAGATAAATTCAAGGAGGATAGGTCCATCAATGGCTATTAGCCAGGAAGGGCAGGGATGGTGTCCCTAGCCTCTGTTTGCCAGAAGCAGGGATTGGGCAACGGGATGGATCACTTGATGATTCCCTGTTCTGTTCATTCCCTCTGGGGCACCTGGCATTGGCCACTGTCAGAAGATGGGATACTGGCTAATGGACCATTGTCTGACCCAGTAGGGCCATTCTTATGCACATCTTTTAACTTTTAAAACAGCAGACAGTACTGTACAGAACTAGTATGGGGAGAGACAGGGCTGCGGGTAGAGACTGATGTGCACTTGCAGAGCTATGGGAAGGCCAGAATAGAACACGGTAGGTGCAGGTGCTGCAAGTCAGGATTGAGGTGTATTGATAGCATAGACTGGACTCACAGACCATGCTGGAAGTGCGTTGACACATGGGAGACGTGCGGCACCAACCTGCATCATGTCTGGCTCCACATAGTCCTTTCAGCTCTTCACTGCTTGAGTGCGAAAATCCACCAAAAACTAGATCTAGAAGATGCTGCTTCTGGTAGTGAAATATACGACGTGTAATGTGCCTGTATGGCATGGACTTCAGTCCGCCCAGGAATGAACCTGAGCAGCCTGACTGCTGGTTCCTTGGTGTTCTTTAGAAAGAACTAAAATGTCTCGTTCACCCTTTGAAACGTGGAGAGCAGCAAGCGTTTAACCAGGGCAGGTTTCCCGGAACTCCTAGGGAGATAATACTTCGTATTCAAAAATTTTGCCAGTCAGTGAGCAAATGGCATTGACTGTAAGCAAGTTAGCGATAATGATCATTGATTTTAATTCTTCTTCTTTCTTTCTTTCTTTCTTTTCTTAGAGAGTCCAGTGTGCGCACCACAGGGGAAACTTTGCTGAATAAAAGGTACAAAGACACTTTCCTTTTCTGAATAGATATTGAGAGATAAGAATGTGTTTTTTGTGTCTCCGGCAGCTACGTCTGGGGTCCCCATTTACTCATCTGTGCAGCATGTGCCAGTGCGCTCTGATCTCCAGGCCTGCTGTGCTGGGCTGATACCAGCTGCTGTGTCTCTGCCTTACTGGCACAATCCACCCTGTTGCTCCACAGGTTATGGGTTAAGCAGCTGGATCACACATGTGGACTGGGGAGCTGCTAGCTGGAGAAAGCGAGGTGGATGGCCTGCTCAGTTCCCTTTTGTCTGCCACTGCTGCTGGATGTAGACAAGTAGCTTTTCATAGCTCCAACCAGTGGCAGGAGGCTGAGACTTTCTGGAATGGTGCATGCAAGTGCAGGGAGCTAACTGGGGGATGGGTCTCTGGAGAGGAGGCTTGGCAGCTGGCATGGGTTAGGGATGTTGTGCCCATGAGTTGCTTTGTGCGTGCTGACATTGCTGACTCTTCGTGCTGTATACAGCTATCAAGAATCAGCTGTGCAGGGATTTGTTGAGAGCGCTGGGGAAGTGGGGGTATCGTATATCTTCATCAAGCGCAGTGCTGGGGCAACTTCCGCTTTTCAGGGAGGCCCCTGCTTTCTGTACCCAGTGGTATGTAATCTATCACTTAAATCAGCTTCTGTACTAGGTGAGGGCAGATAGCTAATGTGATGCTAATTGTTAAAAAAGGCTCCAGGGGCGATCCTGGCAATTACAGGCCAGTCAGCTAATTTCAGTACTAGGCAAATTGGTTGAAACTATAGTAAAGAATAAAATTATCAGACACATAGATGAACACGATTTGGGTTCCACATGAAGAGTCAATGTGGCTTTTGTACAGTGAAATCCTGCCTCACCAATCTATTAGAATTCTTTGAGGGAGTCAGCAGGCATGTGGACAAAGGTGATCCAGTGGATATAGTGTACTTGGAATTTCAGAAAGCCTTTGACAAGGTCCCTCAGCAAAGGCTCTTAAGCAAAGTAGACAGTCATGGAGATAAGAGGGAAGGTCCTCTCATGCATCAGTAACTGGTTATAAGACAGGAAACAAAAGGTAGGAATAAATGGTCAGTTTTCAGAATGGAGAGAAGTAGCTAGTGGTGTCCTCAAGGATCTGTACTGGGACCAGTGCTATTCAACATATTCATAAATGATCTGGAAAAAGGGTTAAACAGTGAGGTGGCAAAGTCTGGTACAAATGGTACAAAATTACTTAAGATAGTTAAGTCCAAAGCAGACTCACTGCAAGAGTTACAAAGGGATCTCACTAAACTGGGTGACTGGGCAACAAAATGGTGCATGCCAGTGAAATTCAATGTTGATAAATGCAAAGCAATGCATATTGGCAAATATAATCCCAAGTATACATACAAAATGAGGAGGGGCTAAATTAGCTGTTACCACTCAAGAGAGAGATCTTGGCGTCACCGTGGTGAGTTCTCTGGAAACATCCACTCAATGGGCAGCGGCCAGCAAAGAAGCGAACAGAATGTTGGGAATCATTAAGAAAGGAATAAATAATAAGACAGAAAATATCCTATTGCTTCTGTATAAATCCAGGGTACGCCCACAGCTTGAAAACCACGTGCAGATGTGATCGCCCATCTCAAAAAAGATCTGTTGGAATTAGAAAAGGTCCAGAGAAGGGCAACAACAATGATCAGGGGTCTGGAACAGCTTCCACAGGAGGAGAGATTTTAAAAACGGAGACTTGTTCTGTTTGAAAAAGAGGCAACTTTTTGATTTAATTGGGGATTGGTCCTGCTTTGAGCAGAGGGTGGGACTAGGTGACCTCCTGAGGTCCCTTCCCACCCTGAGATTCTAGGATTCTACGACTAAGGGGGGATACGACAGAGATCATAAAATCGTGACTGGTGTGGAGAAAGTGAATAAGGACCTGTTTACTCCTTCACATAACACAAGAACTAGGGGTCACCTGATTAAATTAATAGGCAGCAGGTTTAAAACGATCATAAGAAAGTACTTCTTCATACAACACAGTCAACCTGTGGAACTTGTTGCCAGGGGATGCTGTGAAGGCCAAAAGTATAACCAGGTTCAAAAAAAGAAACAAGAGTGAGGCAAAGAGAGCGGACGTTGGCTCCAGTCACAGGCACGATTTCTAATAAAGGCAGAGCTGGAAGAAGGGCTTAGTAGTGCTAACAGGCAGGGTCAAGGCCCCAGCTCATTAACATCTAGACTGGCAGCCCCAAAGGGTTCAGGCCCCTTTATATACCCCCAAGCAGGCAGAGCACCTAGACCTCCCCACCGCTCAGCCTCTCCAGCCCATTCTTTGCTCAGTGACAGTTTTGTGAAGTAGACGCGTGCCCCATGGGAAGAATGTTCTCACCCCAAGTGGTGTCACGTTCATCAGAGACGAACACCGTTTGGCCATCCTGGCCTGGGGCAGTTCTGAACCAGAGACCTGGCTCCCACTCCCATTCCCAGCCTCTTGAGCAATCAGTCCCCCGCTGCCCTGCAAGGACAGTTCCCAAATCTGCTAAGAGCCTGATGCGATAAGGAGCTCCTGCACAGTCACTCAGGGAATGGCTTCAGTGGCTGGACCTTTTGCAGAAGTGCATTTCTAAAAGAGCTCCCATTTGAAAGCCAACTTTCAGGTCTTGTAGGCTGGTGGCTAAAACCCACTGACCTTGTGTGTGATTGTCCCACCTCCTCCGATATCCCGTACTGGATGGATTCTTAACCAAACTCAGCTGTGTCTATAAGTAACACTCATCTACCTTGATATAGTGCCCTTTGTACTAAGGGACCCTAAACTGTGCAAGCAGTATACTCAGCAATCTCTCCCCTCATCCCTCAAATGTAGCTATCTCTGGGGTGGAATGTACCAGCCATTTCTGCAACAACAATATTTCAAAACAACAAATGCAGCAGAGGGAATTGAAGGAAGGCAGGATGTTTGCTTGGGACTTTAGAGTCCATGACACTAGCAAAAATTGCCGAGAGATATTTAGGGGTAGATTTTTAAAGAGTTGCAAAAAAAACTTCAAAAAAATGGAATTGTGCACCCAAATCAGGTTTTAGATGCTTACTCAGATATTTGCATATGCATATACCCAATTCCTGTCTGTCTATACAGGCTTGTCCCACAAAGATAGGCATGCATTGTGGCGTGCACCCGTGGGTCTCCTTTGTAGAATACGTGACTCTTAGTAAGTGCCGGTCTGGTCTCTGTCTCAGCCAGCGATACTATATTTTGCTGCTCAGTGTCCCTCTGGGGCTGTTCTGGGCTACAGGTCCAGGACTGGCTCACATGTGACAAGCACTACCTATTCAATTACCAAGGCCTCATCCCCAGGAGGTCTTGCATCCAAGCACAGGTCTAGCCCCTACCTGCTGAGATGTGCTCGGGTCCCAGCACAAGGCATCTGGCCTGTTTCTTCCTGTAGAGAAGTCAGGATGGTGGGTTGGGGAGATTGCCATCGACTCCACGGCTCCGTAATGCCCTGCCTCGGACAGAGGGAGCAGCAGGAGAGCCCGGGCCAGGCAAGGCACAAACCGAGTTGGGAACAGCAAGGTAAACACTGTCAAACAGGAACTAACCGTGGTTTTGTGGTCAAGTGTATTATGGTGATTTGTGTCAAAGGGTCCCAAAGTGACGTAAGGTCATACCCAGGGATCCCTTCTAATGCCCACTGAGAGCCAGCCACCTCCCTGTTCAACACCACACGGTTTAGACGGGAAGGGAGGAAGCAGAAGTAGAGGGAGTCAAATCCCTGCTGGTAATGCTGGCCATGGAATAGCTAGGAGAAGAAAAAAAACCCACAGCCAAACAGTGACCTGCCTGTCTCTTAGCCTCTTCTCCCCAGCAGACAGCGCAAAATCTCCCTCTGCTGCATGGGCTCCCCTTTCTGACCTGGGGAGTCTTGTTAAGGGGAGAAAGGTTTATTTCTAGGCTGTCCTATGGTCCCTCTCACAGACACTGAGGGCTTTAGGCTTGTGTCCCTGTGGCAGGGAAGGGTTCCTGGCCCCCTCTTACAGAGGGGGAGGGAACTTACCCAGGAGCCCATGTGAGGATGTTGCACCCAGTTTCCCCTTGACTCACTCTAGGTCTTCACCACCAGGCCCTCCTCAATTTTTGTGGGGGGGGAGCAGCAGTGGGGACTCGCTCCCCGAGGTGAGGGGTGCGGCTGTGCTTGCAGGGCTCTGGGGGGAAGCGGGGAGAGGCCTTGGACACCAAGGTAGGAATGAGTGAAAACCTGGGCTCTCTTCCCCTGCCTGCCGTGGTGGTTCTTTTGCTTGATCACCCTCTCCTGGTGCTGAATTATTAAGTGTGTTGTTTTCTTTTATTGCTGTGCTGGAGGAGAACTGCCTCACACCAGCCCCGCTTTGAATGTGATTATGTGCTGGGGGGGGGCTGTCAGCGCCAGCTGGGCCCCACAGAACTATCTTCCCGCCCTTGCACGCCTTTGCCTTCCCTTGCTCTTATTTATTTGCCTGCTCCTGCAAGTGGCTCAGCGCGCATGGTCCCCTCTCTCCGCGGCACAGTGGGTCCCTTGGAGGACGGGAGATTTAGTGTCTGAGAGACATGCTGCCCTGCCTGCAGAGCTGCTGTACCCGTCGCCTTGGCTCAAGGGCCTGCTCCGTGCAGGGATTGTTTATCTTACCCTGAGGATTCTGCTACTTTCCTCTGCGGGATGGAGCGTGATCCATAACAGGGCTTTGCCCCAAGGCCAGGCTCCTCCAGAGAAACAGGGAACTTGCCAGGGCAGCAGCAGGGCTCAGGCAGGCATGTGGTAATTCCCCAGAGCCTCTCATTGGAGCAGCAGGGCATTCCTGGGGATCCAGGCCCCATCTCAGGCTGGAGGGGGCGTTGCAGGCGTGGTCGGGGCAGAGCAGCATGCAGGAGTTGTGGAAGCACAGCACAGGATGGTTATTTTATCGTAATAGCCCCTTGGCAGCAGAGCTAGACTGTCACGATTCTGCCCTTCCCCCGCCTATCCCACGAGGGCCCTGTGCAATGTGAAAAACTACCACACAGGGGCCTTGTCAAGTCCCCGTCGTCCTGTCCCTCAGCAGGTCAGAATGTCCCTAGAGCCATCCCGAAGGAGAACTGAAGTGCTTCCACCAGATCCATTTGTTTGCACTCCTCTGGCCAGAGCCAGCCCATCCCTTTGCCCCTGCACTGCCCCCAGCCTAACGAGTGCCTGGCCCTCACAAGTCACTGGTGGGGCCAAGCTGCTGAGCTCTAGCCATTCCCTGGACTTAGAACTGGCCGTTGGGCTGGGCTGGGCTGCCCGGGGCAGGTGAATGAGCGAGCGGGGTGCAGTGACGGAGTCCGAGCGGCTGGGCTGGGCTGCCCACAGCACACACCCAGGGCAGGTGCCTGCTCTGCATGGGTTCCCAGCTCTGCCTTGGACTCTGTGGCTGAGGGCAGCCCTTTGAACTCAGCCCCTCGGTTCGCCCAGGGGCGTTATTGCTGTTTAAGATCACAGAGTAAAGCATTGTTCAAGGGTTGCCCCTTCCCTTCCTTAGGCTCACTAATCTCAGGTTCCCCCAGCCTCCGGGATCAGGCTTTACCAAGGCTGCTCCTGCTTTTCCTTCCTGCCTCCCACCCCACATCTGTCTGGTCTAGTTAGGTTGTGAGCGCTTCAGGATAAGGACTCGCTCACTGTCTGCAGCGCCCAGCACAATGGGGCCTCGAGGTGCTGCCCTAATCCAGGCAATAATAATTATTCCAAGAATTTTCACTCCCTAAGCAGCCTCGGAGGAAGGGGTTTGTGCAGAAATGACCGAGGCCGTAGCCGTTAGAACGAGAGGGCGGGGGGCTCCTGTAATGACCTCTCTCCCTTGGCCAGGGGTGGGGCAGCCACTATCCATCCTGGCCCATGAGAAGCCAGGAGCTTGGCCTAGCTCAGGCTGTCAGCCTTGGATGCTGGCTGAGCCTGACCCAGGAACAGGAGAGGAAGAGGAAAGGAAAAATCACTCCTGCCAGAGAGCAAGCGCAGTCAGAGCTGGCTGGCACCTCGCAGGTTAATTGTGAGAGCAGCCGATTCCCTTATTGACAGGGTAGCTTGAAAAATGCTGAGGCAGGACATCCATTGCACAGAGTGTCGGAGCAGGAGCCTACACTCCCAGCTCCCTGCCATGCACGCTCTCGCTCTCCCCGCCACACGTTCCCCTCCCTTCCCCGGCAGCCCATCCAGCCCCTTACAACAAACCTGGCAACTTGGCCCCCAGTCCTTCAGCCTGGCTCCTCGCCGCTGATTGGCCTCACGCTCCCAGCCTGAGTCCAGCAGCCCCTGCACTCCCAGCCAGCTGTACTCTACCTCAGCAGGAGGAACAGGTCCAGCCTCGCTCGCTTTTTCTCTCTTCCTTTTTCTCCTAAGGACACCCAAGAGGATTTATTTTTGGTCCCTCCCCCCGTTTTTAATATCGAATCAGCTCCCCTCACCCCCACCCTTCCTCGCTCTGTGACTCGTGCTTGGGATCTGGGGGCTCGCTTCTTTCCCCTGCCCAAGTTGGAATCCTTTCTCCGATCCTCGCACCACGAGCAGCTGAGCACCAGCATGATGGACACTGATGGCCAGCTCTGACGTGCATGGCGGCCTGTGGCGAGTGACCGCGCTGTGCCGGCGAGGGACCCGAGGCGATAGGGCACTGCTGCCAAGCCACCCACCAGCACAAAGCCCAGAGAAATCCCGGGAAGAGAGAGACTGCGAGGGAGCACAGTGCGGGTCACCTCCGCCAGCTGCACGGGGAGTGGAAGGGGAACCCCACACCCTCTCATTGCGCTGCTAGGCCAGCTCACCTGATTGCTCCTCTCTGGTGCTGCACATCCCCGCTGCCGACATGATGATGTATTTCTGGGTAGGTACCAAACACAGGATTTTCCCCTTTCTTTACTGGGAGCTGGGGGCTGGTTTGTTTCACAGCATTCTTGCTTCCAGCTTCTGGAGCTCTGATGCCTGCCAGGGAGATGCTTTCTTCTTCCAGCAGGGATCTCTCTGCTTCCTGGCTTCCATACAGCCAGAGGGGATCAGGTGTCTGCCTGTTGGAGGCAGGCCCCCAGGAGCAAGGAGATGGGAGCTGTCTTCCCCCTCCCAGAATGGGCAACTCCAGCATGGGAGCTGGGCAGGGCTTCCTGGTTTGAATTCAACTAGCGAAAGGCCTGGTGACCCCTCCCCTCTAGGAAAGCTTTCTGAACAAATCCTGACCCAAAGTTCTGCCTCTTCCTGCAGCTGTCCCCTCTGAGCCCCAGGCTCACTGCGGGCTTTCTATAGCACAGCCCTGGGGGCTCTTAGACTCAGAGCTGTTCTCTAGGCTCTCTGCAGATCACCAGGTAACAGGCCACGGGATCTGGAGGTCCTGCTCAGAGGCATATCCCTCCACTAGGAAATCTTTCTGCACCTGTTCCACCCAATCTCCCCTCACATCACTCTCTGGAAGAGGAGTGGAGGATAGTTAGCAGAAGCAGCAAATCTTTGGCTGCTCAAGAGAAGTTGCTTTGTTGTTTGGTTTGCTTTGCTCAGAAGAGGCTTGTGCTGTAGGTGAAATGCCAAAAGTACTTACCCAGGGATGGAACCCTAGAGAACGTGGCCCAAGGTGGGAGTGTCCTGGAGAAAGGGGCATCTGCTGCTGCTCGTTTGGCCTGGCTCTGGGAAGTTCCTCCTTCGTCTCTGTACCCAGCATGTCTGAGTTTCCCATGCTCCTTTCAAACAGCTCAGCTTGACTGGCAGCAAGTCCTGCTGGAAATAAGGAAAGAGGCCTCTCAGTTATGAGTCCGTGGTATTCAGGCAGCAGCCCAGCGAGCAGCTGCAGGGACGTGGACTGGCCTTGTCCTTAAGGCCTTGGACAAGAAACTTTAAATGTAGCTTGTCCAATAGAGCACAGAGGAGGGGCATATGAACAGTGGGAGCAGGTATTGGAAGAGCATGTGAACTGACCTGAAAGCACCTTCACAGGGAGCTTCTAAGGCCAGACAGCCAGAGGTTAAAGCCAGGGCAGTTTGGCCAGATTCAGGAGAGAATGAAGTAACAAGCTGAGGAAGCAAATGGGCTTGAGACAAGAGCAGCAGACAGCATTCTTGTGCTCTGCCAGGGCCGCCCTTCTCTGGGAGTGCCATGAACTTACCTGGGGGGTGGGGCCTCTGGAAGCTCAGTGGGGTGCCTCCTGGCTTTTTACACTGGCTTCTCCCTCTTTCAGGGCAAGTTTACACTATGGCCTAAGTCAATCTTACTTACATCGCTCAGGGGTGTGAAAAAGCTGCCCCCCAAGTGACGCAAGTTTTGTGCTGTCCACAATGGTGCTATGTTGGCAGGAGACACTCTCCTGCTGACACAGTTTTCGCTTCTTGCCAAGGTGGAGCAATTATGCCGACAGGAGAGCGCTCTCCCATCAACATAGCGCGTCTTCGCCAGACAATGCAGCTGCACCAACGTAGCGCTGTCGTGTAGACTTGTCCTGAGTCTGCCTCTCAGATTTCCCATGAGATAGGGTGGGCAGGGGGTGGAGGGCAGGGGGTTCTTGGCTCTCTGGGCATAACCTCCTGCTTATTTCACATGGTATAAATGGCTGTGGTTAGTGCTTCTTTCCCACCCCCACTCCCCACCTTATTATCTTTAGAGGAGCCAGCATCCCAGCCCAAGGGCTCTGCAAAGGGTATTTAGCTCTCTGAGTGCCTGGCACAGCCAGGGTCCCAGTTCACTGCTCTGCATAGTGGTGGCATTGGAAACAGGCTCACTGACCATGCTCCTGGTGCTGTCACCCTTTGTGCCCATCCTTATCTATGGGCTGCAGTGAGCCATGGTACCTGGTCTCCAGGATGATATAAGCCATTTTAAGTAGTAGGTGGCAAACTCTTTTAATCTCATTTCAAGCTCACTCCTGTGAACGGGGCCTTTGCACATCGAGCTGAGGGTGAGTCCCAGCTCGAGGAGACGTATTCGTGTAGGTGCAGTGGCGCAAGGAGCAGGACAGGCAGCCACCCTGGGGCCTAGGCTCCTTGACAGCTACATATACTCAGGGCGGCTGCCTCTCCCATACTCATGCTGCCATGGTTGCATCCTGGCTTTGGCCCACCAGTTCCATTAGAGCTAGCACAGAGATGTCTCCCGGAGCTGGGACTCACCCCCGGCTCAAAGGCAGGCATGCCCTTGTGGGCTAAGACACTCCGTGCAGACTCTCATGTTACTGGGCTCAGGTGCTGTTTAGGGAGAGAGTGTAAGGAAAATGCAAAGACATGATTTAAAGAACATAACACAGAGGAGAAAAGAAAACCATGGCAGAGAGAGACGGAGACACATGGCACAGCAAGGGGGAGATGGGGTAATAGATGCAAATGGTCTCCTTGACTGTGCAGGGCAGCACCTGTGTAACTGAGCAGAACCTGCTCCAGATAATGCTGCTCTAGAGACCGTCTCTTGGCAATCTCACCAGTTATTGCCCTGCCTCTGAGTCCATCTTCCTGGGGAAACTTACAGAGACGGTTGTGGCAAAGGTGACTGGTACCATCTGGACCGCTCAGAAGCCCTTGTCTCTTTCAGCTTGGGCCTGGTGCAGTGACTGTGCTGCTCTTGTTGGTTGATGTTCTGCTGCCAGCACTGGGCCGTGGCCTGGTGTCCCAACAGCCTCCAAGACTGTTGAGTGGCCTCCAAGGTTTGTTCATCTCCTGCAGTCCTGCGGAATGATTCCGTTTGTTCGTCTGAGAGGGAGCAGAAGGGAAGGTTTGACCCAGCTGCTCGTCTGCACGGTTCTGTTTTGTCAACCCTCCTGTTGAACATGTATGTGAGGTCACTGGTGAAATTGCCAGATGTTGTCATCCGTCTGTGAAAGATACCCAGCTCTGTGTCTCAGCAAAGCCGTATGGAGGGGCATCTTTGTGGGTTTTGTGCCAAGCTGCAGTAGGTGCCTGGCTGAGATAAAGCTGCCTGACCCCAGACTGAACAGCATGGAAGTGATGCCAGTGGATTGGGGGAGCATATGATCAGGTGGTTCCTGCCCCTGTTTTTGATGGCACGCATCCTTTGTCTAAGCGGTTTGCAGTTGGGGATGCCTCTGGAATCCTGGCTGTGCCTGGAATCACAGGTGGCATCAGTGGCCAGGAATGCTGTTTTCACCTGCTCCGAGATAGATGTTTGTGATCATTTTTTTTTTATCTGGGTCTCCCCATGTAATCCAGATTGGCTGACTGCAGTCCCCGGGATCTCCTCCAGAGTGGTTTTCTTAGGTCTTCCAGCTGCCCTCCACACTATTGGCTGTGTGTCGCTGTGATGGGGCTGCAGCAAGGGTTGCTCATGAGTGGCTCCATTCCTTTCTTTCTAAGAGAGCCCAGAGCACTGAGCCACTGCTCATCGGCCCGAAAGACTCTTACAGGCGGCTCCACAGAGCCCTGTTCTCCAGCTCAAAGTGTGTATGGGGCTACTTGGTTAATTAAGTATGGGCTGCCGTGTCTTCATATGTAGAGGAAATCCAGCTCACTGCATGTCTCCACCTCTCCTGAGCTGGTTGGAGCAATGGCACGACTTACCTGGGGTCTAACAGGTTGGGGTCTGGCTGGGGGCTAGCTGGTTCAATCCAGACAAGACTCAGAGGCTGCAGGGAAGGTTCTGTCAGCCCTGGAGGCAGGTGAATGTCTGCCATTTGCTGTATGGGAGGCAGCCCAAGGCCTGCTCCTGGATGCTGAGGTAGCAGCAATGGCCAGTGCAGCTTTTTATCATCTGTACTCAGTAAGGAGATTACAACCTTTTCTTTCAGCTTCAGAGCCTCGCCAAAGATACCAAGGCCTTTCAGGAAGACGTGGCATGACGGTAATGCTGTGTGCTGAGTTACAGCCTTTGTGGAATGGTGCACAGTGTGCCAGATCCCTTCTCCAGCAGGGTTTCCCAGCAGCTCCCATCTCTGCCCCATAATCTGCACTGGCTACCAGTCCCAGCCCAGGGGAAGTTGAAGGGTTGGCTTGAGGAACAAGAGCAGTGAAGGGCAACAGCAGAAGCATGGGGTCCACTGGAATACATACCCAGAATCACGGGCGGGAGGCACTAGCCATGGCTTTACTGCTCTGAGCTCTGGTACCCCTGTATGTCCAGGAATGCTGCGGTCACACCTCCTGACGGCAGTGTAGACATGCTCTGAGGACGTGCCTCTTCCCTTACTTGTGTATGTCATACGTGAGCTATTTGGGCACTGGTTTCAGTGACCGGGCGGTTCCCAGGGAGGGTCCCCCGGCCTGGTTAGTGTTTTGGGGAGCGACTCTGATAAACGAGGTGGTAGGATCACGTCAATGGGCTGTCGTTCCTGTGCCCAGGCAATCGAGCTCATTTTTATATCTCTGAAAGTAAAGAAATAAAACCACAGAATGTCTTTTCCTGATAGCCAAAGTGCTGAGCCTTACCCCGGCTACTGCAAGGCTGTGCTGGGGTGTAAACTGAATTACCCATCAATGTAACAGTGCCACAGACACAGGGTCTTGACCTAAACCAGTCCCATCAGTGTTTGTGCCCCTTTCCTCCTGGCAAAATACAGCAGCTAAACCTGCCCGTTTCCATAGGCCAGGCAGCTCTGGGGCTCTCCCCGCTGCCTTGCTCTAGCCCTCTGAAGGCTGCCTGAGGCTCTGGGGCTCTCTGAGTGGCTAGTGAAGGGGGTGCCCATCTTCGCTCTGCACTCTGGCACAGAGTAAGCATTTAATAGACATTTGTGGTGTTTTCCTGCGACTTTTTTGCTTTCACAGCCCCAGAAAGAAATGAGACCCACAGCCCCTCAATGGGGCAGGCCAGCATGGGGGCTCACTCCATTTGGAAGCACAGTCTGGAGATGGGGAGTTCCCCACTCCCAGCCTGCTGCAGGCTTCCAGAATTACAGAGAGGGCACTC